TGCTTCAGCCGCGCGTCAGAACTAAACTGGTACGAGCATCAGAAATGAAGCAGCAGGTGCGTTTCTGCTGCTCCTGCTGCTTGCGGTGTGAACGTTGCATAACACACAGTAGATGCCATTATGGGATGTCTGTTTAGAAGTGAAAAATGAGCCAGTTTGGTCTGCCTGAAATATAGATATATATTTATAGATGTTGAACTGTGTTGAACAGAGCAGTAGCAGCAGGAATTAGGTGGTATTAAGGTGGTACTGCTGATATTTTTCATGTTTTAACGGTTAAACTGTTAAAAGATCAGCCATCCTTCCCATCTTTTTCTATTCCCATGGATTAAATACATTCTGAACAAAATGTCAGACATTCAGGGGCTCCTAACGCGCCCTCTGCTATGCTAGTAGGACTTTGGAGATGATGCAGATGCTTTAGGTCTGCAGCCAGCTGTTGGGACGGTTCTGCTGAACAAGCGTCCGATAAAAGGCAAAGACCTGAACGATTTCTGGAATGTTAGTTCACAGGTCTACAGACCAGCTGCTGCAGGACGTCACCATCAGTCAGCCCAGCAGATTTCACCAAACCTTCCTCCTGAGGCGGGACTTTAGCTGCTGCTATGCCTGAAATGAGTCAATAATTATTATAATGTCCATTCAGCCCTCTGAACAAAGACAGAAACCACATAACACCCTGTGGTGTTCTAAGGATGTTTTACCAGTGACATCAGTCAAAGCCTGAGCAGCTTCTTCTTTTCTTGGATGGTTTATTTTTGGATGGCCTCTGTGTCATCACCCTAATCTTCCTGCCGATTCCTTTCTATCAGGTAAACATGCGGCGATACCGGAGGGATGGCTGCGTGGAGGCAGGCGTAGACATTTAAACCCACTCCTGGGGAGTGGAACAAAACACAGCCGAGTATAAACGTCCCAAAGAGCCCCACCCCAGCCTGTTTCTACCATATTCTAACATGGTAGTGTATCTGTGTGCACCACGAGTGTTTTATTCTGTTTTTATCTTAGAGGTGCATGTCTGATAACCTCATGCACATGGGGAAGTCAGTGCGTTTCACTCTGTCCGTGGACTCTAGTGTCTCTGCTCTGAAGATAAAAGGAAAGTTCACCCGCTGACCCTACACAAGCGTAGTGAGCTTTAAGAGGACCTGCAGTCCAACATCCTTCTTTTGGCTAAAACAGGATCTCCTCCAGGAATCTGGATTGATTTTATCTGCTGTTATTCTATATCTGTGACCTCCTCTCCCAGTCTGAACACACAGGCCCAGGAAGGGGTCTATTAGTTCAAACGACCTCAAATATTCTTACATCCAGCACAGTTGGTGAGAAGGTACCGGCTCCTCGCTCCATCCGTGCCTTCAGAGGGACGATGGGACGCGTCCTGCCGTCTCCGACCAGCCTCGCTGACCTTAACCAGATGCTGTTTGTTCCTGCAGGCTGTGGAGGCCCAGTCACCGCTCCGGCAGGTGAGATCCACTCACCGCTGTATCCGGCCAGCTACCCCAACAACGTGGACTGTTCCTGGGTGATCAGTGTGGAAGTCAGCCACCGAGTCCTCCTGAACTTCACTGACCTGGACATTGAATACCACACAAACTGTACCTGGGATTATGTAGAGGTGAGAGACCCTCTGATCTGTTTAGAGATGAATATGATTGATGATGGCAATGATCAGCGAGGTGACCTCCTCCTGCTGTAGATCCATGATGGTTCCAGCGCTTCCTTTCCTCTGCTGTCCCGTGTTTGTGGCTCCAGCACTCCTCAGCCCATAACCTCCACCACCAACACCATCTATGTCCGATTTCGGTCCGATTCTAGCAGCAACCATCGAGGGTTCAGCGCTAGGTTCTCTGAAGGTATGTTCCTGTTCAGGGCTCAGTCTATGGTGGTAGTCTTTCTCCACCTGTTTCTAGTCAAGTCGTCTGACTGAATATATCTTCGTTGGTTCTAAGGTAGAGAGGCTCTGCATTCTGACTCATTATCAGCACAACTGAATAAATATGTATATGTATCCTATGCAAACATCATCATCATGGTGGTCATGGTTACCGTCCTCATCATGGTGGTCATGGTTACCGTCCTCATCATGGTGGTCATGGTTACCGTCCTCATCATGGTGGTCATGGTTACCGTCCTCATTATGG